CTTTCAGCTTTGGAATATTTCAGATATAATTACAGAGAGACTGATTCTTCTGGATCACTTCAACAGGTTCATAGATAGCAACAAATTGATTGAGGAGGATTCAATGCAGTTCATCACATAAATTCAAATACAACTTCCGGGGTTGAAAGGTTGAGTGTTGAAAAATAATCTTCACTTCTTGTTCCTTCCAATGAATAATTTTCATCGATCATATATGCGACTTGAAAAGTAACCATGACTAAAAGTCCCTGTGGATTAGAGAGTCATAAAGACCCTTCTCACCACAGTTGCACAAGGACCCAACCTTGGCTCAGATGGAGACTACTCGTAGTATCTGTGTGCACATGGAGGAAAGCAATGCGATTTGTTGAGTATCGGAGAACTACTCGTGGCTATTTTTGATGTTATCCCCTGTATATCCTCGATCAAAGATCTCAATACAGTTTTTCAAGTTAGCAAGATAACTTGGCCCTTGACGAGACGTTCAATGGTTTCTAAATCTCCGCTGAGGTACCATTCTAGTGCCAGTAAGAGGTAATGAGGAATAACTCACAAAACCATTCCCGCAATAAATGTATTCGAAGACATATTTTCACAGTTTAGCATTAAACGAGGTCAAGGCCCTTGGCGGGACATTCAACGATAATCGTGCCTTGCGAGGTGCATTGCCCTAGTGCCACTACCGTTGATTCCTTACCTACGGAAAATGTATCCAAGAATACATTTGAGTCTCCGTAGTTTTGCATGACAAAAAGAATGTCAAGACCCTGGACGAGATGTTCAACGATATCTATTTCTCGGTTGGGTGAATCAACCTGGTGCCATGACAGTTCTTAGGTAAACATAATTGACAAGATCAATTTCGACAATCTATACAGTTTCATACTTTCAATTCCTTAAATACGAAAGTTCTTAGAAATATATTGCCTAACTGACAGTTTGTACACTTTCATGCCTTCAATTCCTTGAATACGACAGTTGTTAGAGAGAAACTGTCTAGCTGACAGTTTGTACAGTTTCATGCCTTCAATTCCTTATGAAAGTAGTGTGAAGTGTAATGACCGTTAAGTCCTTTCTAGGTTTCTTCTCCTTGCTCAGAAAATTCTGACACAGTCTTCTTGGGTCTCTTCTTCTTTTGAATTCGCGTTTTAAGACAAATGAAATTTTTTTGAGATAAAAATAAAAATAACTAAGAATAAGAATAAAATGAAATTACGCTAAAAAACAGTACAATATTTTTGGAATTTTTGAATTTTATGATTTTTGTTTTGTTTTAATTCTCCCCTAAATTTGTGCATAAAGGAGAAAAAATATGAAATTTAACGAAAACAAAAAGATCTTGTGCACATATACTTCAGAAAATTTCTCGGCCTAAGAACTCCCATAAATAGCAAGAAAATAGGCATTCTTGGTCATGCGATCGACAATAACCATATGGCATTGAACCCCTTGGTCTTCCTTGGACATTTGGTGATGAAATTCATGGTAATTTGCTGAGATGAGGAGGGGGTGGCTTGCAAGCTGAGATGATGCACCAAGAGACCTTCTCTTCTTCTTCAAGGATTAAAATCTCAAAAAAAAATAACTCAAATATCAATAGTTAAGGATTAGGGTTTTCTTGAAGGTGAAGGGAGGTGATGGAGGTTAAGGGTGTGAAAATCCTTACCCTTACTTCCCTTAAATGTGGGCATAAACCCCATTATTAGGGTTTTACATGCAAGGATTGTCATGTCGTGACCAACATACTGTCACGTCATGACAACCAAGGAGATGCACGTTCATCACGGGAACCTTCACGTCGTGATGCACAAGTGCTCACGTCGTGACCAAGGTTTGATCCTTAAAATTCATTTGATAAGTCCAAAATGATGCTTACCTGGAAGTGGGTGTTACATTAACTCATACGTATATTTAGACATGCTAAATTAAAACATACATTGTTCCAAAACAAATATTGTTTGACAATACAAGAAAATTATGTTCCAAGCTTAAATTATAAACTAAACTCCGAAAGTGAAGTTCTAATTTACATCTGCTAAGTTGGTTACTCTTCTTCAATATTTGTAAGCAGTTTACAAAATATTAAATTAACATTTAAGTACCAAGTACTTGAATGTTATATGAAAAGTATATGTACTATCTAATTTTGATTAGCCGAATATATACATAAATATATATATATATATATATATATATATATATATATATATATATATATAGTTCAGTTATGGTTTTCATCTAAAACCGAACCACTATACACCAAACCGAACCAATAATATTAATAAATAATTTCAATATAATATAATATCAAATATATTGTAAGTAATTATATTAAAAATTAAAAATTTAAAAGGAAATTATTTGGAATTAGATATGATAAGTAATCTTCTATCAGTACAATTATATATACACAATCATTTACTTTTTATAAAAATAAACTTTATGTTTTTCAATTTTTATAGAAAAGTATTTTTTTATTTTTTATTTTTATGTCATCTTTGATCATTATGGTTAACAGATATTAACTATTAACCAACTAAAACCATTAATCAAAACCAATATTAACTTTTATTCAATGGTTATTAAAATACATTAACCAATTCTAATGGTTATGGTTCAGTTTTGACCAAAAACGGAATCAACTCACCCTAAACACACCCCTAACAATTGGAACTCAAAAACATCGCATAGAAGGCTACTTCGAATATGGGAGAATTCAAAATCAATATTAACTTCTATTCGATGATTATTGAAATACATTAACCAATTCTAATAGTTATGGTTCACTTTTGATCAAAAACCGAATCAAACCGCCCTAAACACACCCCTAACAATTGAAACTCAAAAACATCGCATAGAAGGCTACTTCGAATGTGGGAGAATTCAAAAAATAAATAAATCAGGGTTTTTTTTGGTGATGGTGCGTGCAGGTGAGAAACAAGAAGAAAGAAGATTGGTGGGGAAATTGTGTGTATGTGTGTGGGGAGAGAGAGAGAGAGAGAGAGAGAGAGGTGAGAAACAAGAAGAAAGAAGATTGGTGGGGGAATTGTGTGTGTGTGTGGAGAGAGAGAGAGAGAGACCTATGTAGCGTGTGCCTAATTTTTTATTTTTGTTTTTAATTAATAAATTATTAAATGAAATATAAATAAACACAAAAAATTATTAAAAGGGTAAAACCGTCCTTTTAGATTTTCCAAGGTCCAAAAACACGGTAATTTTTAATTTTGGGATCAAAACCATAGAAAATTATTGATTTTGGACCTTCCATGCAATTCAGAAATTTTTTGGATCTTATCCATAGTTAGAGATGTGGTGGTTTGGGGGTGTTAAGATGAGGGTAGTTAGAAGTGGATAGGGTGGTAATGGGAGTGGATGTGTGTTTATATTTTAGAAAAAATTTGAAATTGAAAAAATATAAAAAACAATGATTATTAGTTTTCCAAAAAATTTCAACTTCTTTGTAATTTTAGAATGCATAAAAATTTTATTTTCCGTGAAAATTTTAGAAATTGAAAATATCTAAAATCTCATTTTTCTGTATTCTTAGAATTTCCAGTGGACATAATTCCCTCGGAAAAATTTCAACTTCTTTCAAAATTCTCATTTTTATTAAAAAAAAATTCCGAAAAACAACTCATTTTTCCGCAACTAAACGTAGCCTAAAATTTCCCTTGGACATAATTCAATCCAACCACCAAAGACATACACCTTTGTGAACAAAATTTTACTAACATCGTGTAAACAAAACAAAACGCCAGTAAGTTCAAATCCATCGATGAAGCTAACACTAAGATGAAAGTCTACAAAATGGTTTAATGGTGCAACCTTTTGTCATCACAAGAAAAAAAATTCATTAAGATCATGTACCAAAAATTGGCCGAAATATTTCCACAATGTTCGATCATGGGAAGAAAATGGAGAACAAATATGGAAATTCAAACTACCTCATATTAGGAAAGATCTATGGTGTGATCTGGGGGTCATGTGGTACAGAAGAATGATGAGATTTTAGACCTTGTAAGGCCTACTTATTAATGGGTGATGACTTAATTGCCATATGTGGCTTTTTTTTCCTAAATGAAATGAGGACCTACCTTATTAAGATGGTCAAAAGTCGAAGGCAAACCCAAAGACCAGGTGGGTTCTCGGACCCACCTACTTTTTTAAATTCATTTATAATTTATATTAAAAAAATAAATCAAATCTATATTGAAGATAACATTAGGACCCACCTTATAGTATTTTTTAGAATAAAAAAAAAAAAGAAAGAAACATATAGAATATAGACAATAGAAAACACAGCAAAGTTGATGACAGGAAGAAGCTCCATATGTACTACAGAAGAAGAAAATGGTGGCCGACTTTTTATTATAAACCTTGATATCCAAAAGAAATACATTCATGGGGTCTTTGTGATTGCTTATTTAATTCAATAAACACTTTTTGATAAAGGTGTTTAGTAGTTTATGTTATAAAAAAACAGTTTCTAAAAAAAATGTTTGGAGTACTTCGTACTAGCTTATGCATGTCAAGATCCTATAAGTTGATACGTTTAAAAAAAAATGTTTTTGTATTAGTTTATACTAGTTTATAGTCATTTCATAATTGATTTAGGTGAATAAGTTGTAAGCATTTGAAAGATAAGAAACATGTAAATTTTCAAAAACTCATTTTTGAGTGTTTTGAAAAGCTATTTCTAAAATCACTTATCCATTCGCAAACACTTTTTAGACTTTTTGACTTTTTAAAAAGTCAATAAGCCCTTCAATCCCCTTTTTTAATAGGTCAAATTATTACTTTAACCCTATAACAAGATAGGGGGACATAGAAGTACACTAGTAAGTTTAATCCAAAAAAACATCCTCATGATCAAACACTGTTCAAAGTACAAATAATGGTCTAAAAGCAAACCTTTACAAACAGCTACATATACCATAATCAAATAAAGAAAAAAAAAAAAACAAATGATATACTTCTCAATTCTCATATTAAAATTTACCTCAGTACCAAAGAAGAGCCAACAGAAAAAGAAGACCAATTATCAGAATTGGTGAAGCTGCAGAAAAACCTGTTTCATGATGGTGACCTCTCTGCTGATGGCCACCATGTGCATGATTATGATGATGATGATGATGATGGCCGCCATAGTTAAAACCATGAACACCACCACCATTTCCATACATCTGAGGACCAGTAAAAGCATGCATTTGAACATTAAAAAAAGATGGAATCAAACCACCAAATGAGAAAGTGAAGTTTCCAAAACTTGCAGTCATTGCAGGCCCAAAACCACCCATTAATCCAAACCCATGTTGAGGGAATGCGTTTCTGTCCGGTGGAGGGGCGGTTTCCGGTCGCTGACCTGGCGGCCGATGTGGAATCTCGACACCTGGAACTGATTTTGACCTTGGGTCTGTTGAGTTTTTGCCTCTTCCATATAACGGTACTAGCTTTTCTTCTTGAATTAGGGCTTTACAAACTGGGCATTCTTGTGAATGTGAATGAATGTGAAGCCATTTGTAAAGGCATGGCCAGCAAAAGAGGTGACCACATAAAGTCACGATAGGATCTTGAGCTAAATCAAAGCATATGTTGCATTCAAAGTTTCCTGGATCGCCATTGTTAGGGTTTGAACAAGATGGGGATTGGGGTGACCTGTTTGGCACTTCCCCAAACCCAGTAGACATCTCTCTCAAAACAAATGCTCAATTTCCTGTAGTAAGCCCACCGATTAATTATCAAACACTAAACAAAAAGAAAGAAGAAAGCTAAACAAAATATCATAAGAACTCATGAAGCGTTAATGGTAACATAGGCTTGCAGACAACCAAATCGAAGTAGCTAAACTTTTTTACATCGTCGATCCAACAATTGCAACGATAAATCAAAATCCAGCTGATCGATTAAACTACATGAAAAAGTAAAACCCTAAAGTACATCAAACATCAATCAAACATAACTTGGACCTTCTAGGGTTTCGGGAGCAGAAAATTCAATCAAAAATGGTTCATTACTTATTACGAATTCGGAAAAACTAAACAAGAAGGTGAATTTATGAAAAATTGGTTCGATTCGTGGAAGAAACAACACAAACATCAATCAAGATCAGGAAAAGATCATAAAACTACAGAGGATCGGGGAAATAACTCACCGTATAGATCTTCGGAGAAATACAGCGACCAGAGAACGCGATGCACCCTGAAATCAATATTCGTTGCTTGAGGTGTAGAATCGGAGGAAGATTCCAAGTTGCATGCGATGGTTGTTAAAGACTTCGTTCCTGTTTAGCATTTTAAAATCGTTGAATCTGATAGAGTTTGGTTTGTTGAAATCTCTGGAAGATTCTCGTGTCATGCAATGTTCGCTGCAGTGCTTAGCTACTGGATCGGCCTATCTGTTTTTGGATTTGGGCTTAACCCAACTACAGATCATGTAATCTAATATTCTCATTTGATTTAATAAATAGAATTTAATGTCATAAAATAAAAACTGTTATAATCACAATAAAAAAATAAAAAAATAAAAAAAAAAGACCACGTAATGTCGGAAAGTATTGAAAATTGAGTTATTTTTTAGTATTTATCAATTTGAACGTATTTGGCAAAATTAGCTGGATAACGGATGGTTGGTAACTGAAAGTTGTATCTTTTATTTGTTATATGAGTGTTTGGAAAAACAGCCGAAACTTTTAAAATATGTAAAATTACATAAAATGACAAATTGTTTATAAATGATAACTATATAAAATTATAAATATATATATTTAAGGGTATGTATGGAAATTGATTTTAAAAGCTAGATTTGGAACGTTTTATTTAGATTAAAAACTAAAAATATGTACTACCAAACAAAGTTTTTTGTATAAATCGAACGTTTTGTCAAAAACTTAAAAGCTAGAAGATCCCAAACATTCTTTGTCAAACACGCCTTTGACTATCATTTTTTTCCTAGTTGTCAAAATCGCGATCCTGATCGTAGGATCGTACGATCCTACGATTCTAGGTATGAAAAACGATCCGGATCGTAAAAGGATCGTATTTGGGGTAGGATCGCAGGTAAGATCGTAAGATCGTAGGATCGAGATCCGATCCGATCCTACCTTCCTTTGATTTTTTTTTTTTCTTTTTTTTTTTTGCAAATGAATTTTTTTTACCACTTTATGCATTTTATCTTTTACCAATCTACCATTTATCATTTTTTATTGTGACTTATGACTAATATTTTGAAGTTTTTATAACTTTTGAATGAAAAACTAAATGTTTGAAATAGTTTTCATGATTAAATATTATAAATTAAAATTATATTCTATTTTGTGGGATCTTAGGATCTCGATCCCGATCTTGCAAACCCAAAATCGATCCTAGGTAGGATCCCGATCTTGACAACCTTGATTTTTTTAAATCAGGTAGTTTGGATTAAATTAGTTTTGTTTGAGATAGATTTATGGTCCATCATGTAATACTTGCATTTGTGGTCTAGATGTTTTATGAGAGCTATTTTGAAAAAATAAATCAAATTGAAATGAAATAAATAATACAAGGTCTTTTTAGAGAGTAAAAAAGTTGAGGTTTGATTCATAGAAAAACCCAATATATAGGGTGTTTTATGTTATTAATTTTTTTTACAAAATGAAAGAATCAAATGTAAGAAATAAGAGGGCATGCATATATGTCTAAATTCGTGTACTTCAAATATAATTGTTATTTAATAAGTGAACATACTTTAGACTATAATAACTAATAATATTTCCAGGCTTTATTGGTGTGATATGTTTCTCCATGCATTGCTTCTTGTTTCTTTAACAAACATCCACTAATTCTTTTGCCAATTTCAAGGAAAGCATGTATATCGTGAGTCTACTTTCATCTATTTAACAGCAAAAGCGCCTTTATTACATCACCAAGAGTTGCAAAATAAATGGATGCGTGTAAGACTTCAAACGCAGACTCCGATGGTGGATTAAAGAACTATCATTTGACTTTTCAAAGGGCCATAAGGGGTTTTGTATGCTTGGCTGTTTATCTTTCGACTGCCTTTGTATTTATCGTTTTTTTAGGCACTCCTGCTGCAGTTTTTCCCCGATTTTTCAGCATACATTATAGCAGAAAGGCATTGTCTTTCTTTTATGGGATTTGGCTATCTTTATGGCCATTCTTATTTGAAAAGATCAACAAAACTAAAGTTGTTTTCTCTGGAGAAACTGTTCCAGAAAAGGAACGTGTTCTTGTTATTGCTAACCACAAAACGGAAGTTGATTGGATGTATCTTTGGGATCTTGCATTGAGAAAGGGATCCATAAGTTGCATCAGATATGTACTTAAAAGCAGCTTGTTGAAATTACCTTTATTTGGTTGGGCATTGCATATTTTGGAGTATATTTCAGTTGAAAGAAAATGGGAAGTTGATGAAAGTAACATGCAAAAGATGTTGTCAACTTTTACAAATCATTCAGATCCATTGTGGCTTGCTGTTTTTCCCGAAGGAACTGATTTCACGTAATGCATATATATTAGATATCCTTTTTGTTTTTTTTTTATTATTATTATTGCATAGTTTAAAGCATGTAAAGTTATATTTATACGTATTTGAATTACTATGTTTTCTATTTGATAAACAGAGAGCAAAAATGCACAAAAAGCCAAAAATTTGCTGCTGAAAATGGGTTGCCTATTCTCAAGAATGTGTTGCTTCCTAAAACAAGAGGTTTTCATGCTTGTTTGGAAATCTTGAGGGGGTCTTTGGATGCAGGTTCTACATTCTCTATAACTTTTATAAAATACCTTATACATATCTCATAAAGTCCATAATTTATATCATCAATGCTTATTATTCATTTGGTTATCACTAACATATATATCTTCCAAATTGCGACCTTTTCCCAATTGGCTAATAAAATTTTGATCTACTTTCTCTTGCAAATACTATCATTATATATATATATATATATATATATATATATATATATATATATATATATATATATATATATATATATATGTTCAAGTTCATTTGAGACCATTCTAATTTTGTGAGACCGTGAGACCAAATCTAAAAATAATTTTAAAATGCAAAATAAATGGAAAAATCCAAAAATTCTTTTTTTAAATATTATTTTCGGAACTTGAATTAACAAAAAAGATAAATAAATAAATAAAATAAAAAAATCCGTTTTTTTTTTTTTGAAAAATACGTGAAATATTCTAAATATAATATTACACTGACATATTCTAAAAAATAATTTTAAAATGCAAAATAAATGGAAAAATCAAAAAATTCTTTTTTTAAATATTATTTTCGGAACTTGAATTAACAAAAAAAAATAAAAAATAAATAAATAAAATAAATAAAAAAATCCGTTTTTTTTTTTAAAAATACGTGAAATATTCTAAATAGAATATTACACTGATATATTCTAAAAAATAATTTTAAAATTCAAAATAAATGGAAAAATCAAAAAATTCTTTTTTTAAATATTATTTTCGGAACTTGAACTGACTAAAAAAAATAAAAATAAAAATCTATTTTTTTTTAAAAATACGTGAAATATTCTAAATAGAATATTATACTATACATATTCTAAAAATAATTTTAAAATGCAAAATAAATGGAAAAATCAAAAAATTCTTTTTTTAAATATTATTTTCGGAACTTGAATTAACTAAAAAAATTAAAAAAAAATAAAAAAATAAAAAAATACGTCTCACGGTCTCACAAAATTAGGCCGTCTCACATGAACCTAACCCTCTCTCTCTCTCTCTCTCTCTATATATATATATATATATATATATATATATATATATATATATATATATATATATATATATATATATATTGTGTTCTCACATTCTTATTATAATTTCAGTATATGACGTGACGATAGCGTACAAAAACCGGTGTCCCACCTTCTTGGACAACGTTTTTGGAGTAGAACCATCTGAAGTTCATATCCATGTCCGACGCATCCCCCTAGACGATATCCCGACTTCACAAAAGGAGTCCAATGCATGGCTATTACAGTCATTTCAACTCAAAGACCAATTACTATCCGATTTCATTACACGTGGTCATTTTGAAAACGAAGGAACCGAACAAGAGCTCTCAACAATAAAATGTGTGATAAATTGCATAATTGTTATAGGGACTACTTGTTTGTTTACATATCTTACATTTTTCTCATCATTTTGGTTCAAAATATACATTGGTGTAACATGTGCATACCTTACTTTTGCTACGACTTCTGGCTTTCGTCCTTCTCCGGTTAGTGAATATGTGAAATTGTTTGCATATGGAAAGAAGTTGATTTAAGGAAATCCATCAATTAAGTTTTTACATGTTAAAACTTATATATTGTTTTTGGTTGGTGAATTCAACTGCTTTTAGTCGATTCGATTTTTATAGTTCTTTTTTATTGGATAGTGATTCGTACAAAATAATTTTTTTTGTATATAATAATTTATGTTTTATAGATTTGTACAATACCATATTTTAAAATATATATTGTTATGTACCGAAAAAAATTGGTGTATACAAATAAATTCAATTTTTTATTTCGTGGGTTTTAAATCTTTTAAATTATAGAAATTAAATGTATTACATAAGACGTCTAATGAAATATGTAATCTTGATTTGATTGAAATTGACAGCTTATTGAAATCGAAATGGTCAAAAGAAACAAATTTCGTGTTTTCAAACACTATATTTATACTTGGTACTTTTTTATAACAAAAACCGGAAAAAGTCAAACCCTTATATAAATTGTTTTTATTACAATCATCTATCAACACTTACAAAGAAACAATTTTATTCGTAAAAGAATACACACTTTCATCATCAAGATATCTACTATGCACACCATTTTTTGGGAATTAACTATTGGCATTTGGCAAGTTGTCAACCTACATATTTTAATGAATAAAAAAAGTATTGATTTTTCTATTATCACCTACAAGTCATTTTTCAACTTTATATTTTTGGACGATTTTTATTTGATATTACAAATTTGATCCAAACTTTAAATTTTGTAATACGAACAAAAAAAAATCTACAACTTTGTCCAAAAATTTGTATTTGTATGACTTTTTGTACAACTTTTTATATAAAAAATTATGACTTTTTTACAACCTTTTTCAACTTATTTACAGATATTTTAAAATCTTTTAAAACTTGTTTACAAGATTTTTTTTATATATTATATACTTTTTCCATTTTATACAAGTTGAGACTCATAGGACCAACCAATAAAAAATTGAAATCTATAGAATCACTCTATTATGAATATGGACAAAAACTAGTAAAGTACTATCTCCGCTTTGAGGAGACCGAAGATTCGTAACCATGAAAGTGTAGGGAGCAAACTTATAAATATATGAAAGTCAAGACTCATGTAGTCAAAGTGTAAAACCCAAAAAGTATATGTTTGAAACCCAAAAACTATAAGGACCAAAACTACAAATATAAAAAACCATTGTGCCGATATGAAACCTAAAAATAACAAAAGATACCACCATTATGGTCCAATATTATAATAAGACTCGAGGGACTTTGGTGAACTTTCAGAATATTTAGAGAGAACAAGTACAAATAATGAGGATTACAAAAAGATAAAGTATACAACAAGATAACGTTTTTCAACTTTTAAAATGTTAATATTGTTTTTGAGAAAATGAATTATTCCCAATGCCTTTAAGTTACTAACAAATTAAATTCTATCACATCTAAGACTAAATTATTAAACTCTGTTAATATGGTTTGGTCAAAAATTGATGTTTTGAATTTATATATAATAAGCAACATAAACACTAGTCAACAAATCTTCATAACCTTGCATTTCTTTTTTATCTTTCCTTTTAATCCATACATTCCTCTTCTTCCAAAAGGATTTCATCAATAAAAAGGACCCCCACCCCAAAAAATCCAAATAATTCTTGGGTTAGAGAAAAAAAAAAAAAAAAACAAACCCCTAAATCTAAAGCCATCAACACTTCGTGCCATGACATTTCCCTACAATTATACAGTTAAAAGTAAACCTCCCGAAAACACAATTAACCTCGGGTTAAAAAAAAAAAAAAAAAAAAAAAAAAAAAAAATTAACACTGCCTATGATTTACAAAGATCCCTCCCTTAAAAGGAATCAATATCATTAACACAAAAGATTTTACTTCAAAACCATGAATCCATTTCTTCACCCCAACCCGTACACAATCCTTCACCTTCACCTTCATCACTAAAAAGAGTTTGATCCGAGCAATCCAACGACGCCCCACACGCCAAATTATACGCTTGGCATGCCGAATGACACACTCTCAATCTGTTATCACCGTCTTTTTCACATTTCTGTATTGATATCTGTAAATACAGAAAGAACGACTTAATACAGAAACCCAGTCAAAGTCCTAACATTTTTCACAAATGGTCCCTCGTTTATAAGAAATAACACGCTTACCCAACAAGCTAATCTTTTAGCAGCTTTATCGCAGTTTCTCCCTCGAAAAATATTAAGAATTTTTCTAGCACCGGTTGGATACAATCGATGATAATTTGGCATCACCACCACTTCTTCAAGCTGCTGCAATATGCTGGATTCACTTGGTGCACAATGTTGCCCTTCTGCATCATTTATCAACACATCTTTACAAATCGACAGACTTTCTAGAACCTTTGAAGTGTTTCTACATGTGTAACCCGCGTAATCGGAACATCGGAATTCGCAAACACCGTTGTCACACACCCCACCATGAAGACTACATTGTTCATCACAAACAGCTGCATAATAAAATTTTCATTTCAAGTCCCTCATCTTTAAAATGTTCAAAACAGTCCCTTTAATTGAACAGAAACTCACCGGTTGAGCAATCGATCCCAGTGTATCCGTTTTTGCATTCGCAAATACCGTTTTTCAGGCACTTCCCGTTTCCACTACAATTGGTTGGGCAGGATCCTGAAAAAGTACATTTGTTTTATATAAAGAAATAAAAAATTTTAAAATTAAAAGGTTTAAAAAGGGAAAATAAAATGTTACGTTTGCTACAATCATGGCCATTGAACCCGATAAAACAGTGACATTTTCCATCAATGCAGTCACCATTGGAGTTACATGAATTCAGGCACTGCCCGGATGTCAAAATAGGGTTTATGCTACAGAGTTCATGATATGCCGGGCAGATAAGTTCACCTACAAAAAAAAAAATACACTATTGTGCTAAATAAAAGGTCTAAATCACAGAAAAATTATGTCAATAATCATATTATATGAATAACAAAAAAAATTACCATTAAAACCAGGAAACTGAATGGGTCCACCAGCTTCAGGACAAGTTCTCCAAATGCCATCAACAGCAACCTGAAAACAGACATCGATTTATGGATTTCAATAGAAGAAACTTATTTAACATATTGTTTATTCTTATCATTTATCCAGAAAAATAAAAGATTTTTAAGTTATTCTTTAAGCACCTCTAATGTGTTATTTGTACATCTTCGTTGATAACAACCGTTTCCTTGTGTCATAGAGCCTCTTACAAATCCATTCCTCACTAACGAAGAAGCCATACACCTTCACAAAATAGAAATTAAATTATAATCATAAATTTTTCCTTATAAAACATTATAATTAAAAAAAAAAATTCTACCCAATTATTATTATATAACATTATAACGTTACCTTGAGTTACTTCCACGCACTTCACCCAACATTCTATCAGGCTCCCTTGCACTATTAGTGTCTATACACGAACCATCAGAATAAGCTACAAAATAAGTGCAATAATCAGCCAATGACGACTGCCCACCTGTCATCAATAATCATAAAAAAAAAAAAGTCAAAATCATTTTTAACTTTATAAAAAGTAAAAACACTTGTTATGATAATACTCATTAATTACTCACCTTTGTTAGGTTGAGGAAAATAACGGGCCCACAGAGGAAGATCACCACTATAATTTACAATTGGGCAATAACCCTCAGCTTCACGGTTATATGTACACCCTGTTAACTGTGTTGTGTTGCAATGGTAGGGCCCGTTCCATAGGTTACAAGGGGAAGTTAAAAACTCGGTTCCTTGGTTATGTCCCCAATCAAGATGATCTGCCATGCTGTAATTTGCTTCATACCAACCACTATCTTCTAATAGAGCCAATGTCATTTTTGAAACTACTGATCTTGTATCAACTGAACCAGTCATGATCTCGTTCATCAGAAGTCTCTTTTCCCAATGAGATCCTGATTCAGACAAAAAGTTAGGGAAATCAGAAATGATGTTTCTTTTTGAGTTAATGAGCTTAATGGGTTAAGCACTTGTTTAGATACCTGAAGTCCCACGGCCTCCACCATCTTCTAGCTCGAGTCCGGTGAAATTCTCGGAGAATGCCTGCCAACAAAAGTTTTTTTATATAGTTCATTCATTTGACTTATTTATCCCAAAAAAAAAATATTTTTTTTTACAAAAGTAAAAGAAGGGGGAAATGTACCCCGTAATGATAGCGTGAATGCATGACAACGCGTGGGAGCACGACACGTGTCACTGTCCTTCCAAGTTTTTCATCCGTTACAGTTTCGGTAACCTGAAAATATTTTGAACGAGAAAACCAATGATCAATTTAACATGTTTCGGATTTTAAAAATATAAAAAGTTTTGGAATTTAACAATTCACCTGAGTTCGCCTCCGTTTTCTCTCGTCTCTAAAATGTGTAAAGGCGTGAGGGTCGAATCCAAGAACATGCATCACCTGCAAATCCAAACTTATTAGAAACACTTTTTATAAAAAGCTCACATATTTTTAAATTTTCTACAAAAAAAAATAATAATAATAAAAAGAAACCAAACTCACTTCATGTATGAGTGTAGCGGAAAGTAGTGTTTCGGCTTCTGCGGTCAAGTGGCGAGGGGCAACATTCACATGCCCTGTTCAAACAGACTTAATCTGGTAAGCTATATATGGTTGTTTCTTTTTTACTTAATACAGAAAGAATAAAGGAGACTCTTTACCCATTGGGTTATAACTTTATATGCTTTTTCACTCTTATTTACTTTTTCCTTTCATTTCCCAAGTTTTTTTTTGTCTTTTTCTTGAGTATACTTTTTTAAACATCATTTATTCAGACAACACTTTGTATTACCTGCAATTGCACGACCCCATTGATCACGTTCACATGCTACGGCCCATGCCAGTGTATTGCCAGATGTCGGTCTTGTGGTCACCAAAAGAACTAAATCAGCATCCGCAACACCCTCTGTCAAGATTTAAAAAAAAAAAAAAAAAAAAAAAAATGTCATCTTTTTAAATCATGAGAAAGATTGGTCAAATGTGAAACTTTGACCAAGTTTTACCTTCAACATATTCACGAGGGAGTTGAACACCACCATCTTGACCACATGCAGAGTAACCACTTAACCGCAAGTTTCCTCTTACAGGCTCAACAGCTAAAGCTCTTCTAAACCAATCTGCTGTCTGCCCTAAAGCCTGATCAACATGAAATATGAAAAAGACGATTATACCCTTACCATAATAACATACGAACAACACAAAGCCCAAGAAGGAAAATGTGAATTTGAAAAATACCCTTCGAAGGCGATGCCTTTTATCCTCCCCTGCTATATCATCTGAAGTGCAATTATACCAGCAATCTCCATAAATTGGTGGATCATTTTGAGGATTACAAGAGGGTGTACCCAAATTAGAAGCTGCAGGGGGTTCACCTAACTGAAAGAAAAAAAAAAAAATAATCAAGAAATTTATATTAAAAAAAAAGTGAATAAATTTCAAGATTCTTGTTTGATTAAACTCACTTTCACTATATCCCCAACTTTTCTGCAGTCTCTAGCAGGTGAGTGACCCACAGCATCATAGTTTAAATAAATTCGGATAGGTTGCTTTGCATTCTTGGGCAAAATTGAAACTTTTTGAATTTCCAATAATGCCCTTCCTGTGTGGTGAAGAGGTTCTGAGGTATCAGGAGCTTGATAAACCTGTGGAGTGACTGAATAAACTTTGTTTCCTGGTTTCTTTCTTCTTTGTTCAATTATTTCATCATGAATACAAGAATGTGATGCAACATTTTCAGCACCCGTTTCTGGCTCTCTCCACTGCAATTCTTTATCGTTGTATTTTGCTTGAATGATGTCCAAAAATACCAGGAGTAGCAGAATCTGAGATGTACAACAAAAAATCGATCAATTATTGTAGTTTAAAGAAACATAAAAAGGATGTGAAGTACGAAATTTGGATTTTCTAAAACTGTAAATTTTCTATTTTTTGATTTAGATAAACACCCAGATCTCTAAAGCGTACAACGACGATAGCCCATCATGAATTCACTTGAAGCATCTCAAATTTAAACTCTAATGACCGGATTTAGCAAACCCTAATTTTCGTTTATAAAGAAGTAGTCGTACAAACATAAGAAAAATTAAATTGAAACAGTAAAAGAGTATATTACAGACAAAATAGTAATTAAAGACCATGAAAGCTTCGATTTTTTTAACCAAAAACTGCTGAGGTGAGAAAGGGCGTGAACAGTTCCATTGAAGATTTTGAAAGCTTCAATCTTTCGAATACAAAAAATTTGGATAAATAAATAAAACCCTAAAATTTCCACTGATAACAGTACTGAAAAGACAAATTAACTCCAAAAGACGAAAAAACATGATTGAGATTTTACCTGTAGAAGTAATAGCTCAGTCCAACATTTTCGTCTGGAAAAAACAGCACATCTACTATTACCATTACTCCTACAACGAATCTTGAACTCCATTAAATGTGTTGAATCTTCTCCGGCGAAGTAACCGGCACCATCAAATCGCAGCTAACAATGATTCCCAGATCGGCGACCCCACCGTCAATAAAACTCCCAATCTTTCTCGCATTATTCTCGAAGAAACAAAATGGGTTTCGGATATGAACTGCTCTTACGATTTAGACAACATAACAAACTCGAAATACTATATTACACAACGACTGAATGGCGTTAAATTCGCGGAGCTGTAAAAAGTGGACTAATTCTTGTTTCTTCTTCGGTCGCCGGCTTGTAGAAACAATCGATTTTGGACCAAATCAAACAGTGTCTTCGTAATTAAGGAGTTAATGTTGTTCTTTATAAAGGGCAGCTGTGTGTTGGGTTTTCGATGAGAGAGAGGAGTGTAGGATTCTTTAAGGAGGAGGAAGAAATGGAGATGATGGTAAAAGGCGAGTGGGTGTGGGTGTGGGTGTGGGTGGAGCAGATTTTTTTTTTCTTTTTTTCGTTTTGATAAATTTATTTCGTCATGATTATATGTGTATAAATTATTAATTTATTATCAAATTGGCAGAAGTAATCCAACACGGTTTGTATATATATTTGTTGTATTTATACATTAAAGTGTCATTACGCGTGATCTTATCTATGTAGATCCTACAATATATTTGCTATCCTATGTCTTTGAATAGTTCTTTTGGAAAAGATATCTACAAAAGGTATTTAATATACAATCTTAATTTAGATTACAATTTATGTTATTTAAGAGAAAATTACTCTTTCAAAACAAAATCAAATGTATTCCTTTTAATAATTAGATGAAAATACACATTTATTTTGTAATTATGAGCATTGTGATTTTGAAATGCCTCAATTATAGTCTTCCAGTTCTAAATGTTATGTTGCTCATATGTTTCATATTATTTCGTAATTTGGTATTGAAATCTCTTATGGATTTTGAAAGGTCGATAGAACAATTTTTCCAACAAATGGCATCAAATCAAGTTTATGATTATTTTGAACTTAAATATTGAGTTTTTCTTTTCGTAGGTTTGTTCGAACATTTCACAATCATCAAATCTTTGATAGTCGATAAACGTATATTCCGCAATGTGTATGTCATTATATTGGTTGATTTTTTTACAAAATTTAGAACATGCTATATATAGTTTTCGAATCTTTGATAATCGGTGAACATATATTCCGCAATACGTATGTCATTATTTTGGTTAATTTGTTTACACAATGACAGAACATGCTATATATGTTATATATAGTGGGTATGTAAAATCAAATGTTTTTTGGGTTTTTCATTCGGTGGTATATGAATTTCAATTTTTGCAATGCTTGATTTCAGTATATTTTTAGATTTATAGCATTATTTCATTTGAAGCATGTCATGTGTAGTGGATATATGAAATAGAATTTGTTTTATGTTTTAGATTTATTTTGTAATTGTTGAATATTTACTATAGATGCTTTGTCTATTTCGCAATGCATATATTCATAGTTAGATCAATATTTTGTTCAACATTAGTACATGTGGTACATAGGTTAATACACTTTGGTTTAAGGTTGAGTAAAGGTGTTTTGCAATATGTGAATCTTTCTCAATCCTCGATGTCAATTTCGTAATGCATGATCTTTTTGTATATGTTTAGATTTTAATTGTAACGCCCTAGTTTTCCGAATAAAATTTTATTTTTAAATTGGAATAAACAATCATTTTCATATAACTATATTCAAGAAAAAATCATTTGTTCATAAACCATAATAAAAAATCAGAGTTATAATGATAAGCATCGCAAAATCTCAAATCATAGAATTGATGATGTGTTGTCTTCCCACGATCCGATGAAGTATTTAAAAAACTTTTAATCCACAACTATAAGAACAAAGCTTAGTGGGTTCCCTAAATACCATATATATACAAGCATACAACCAAGGCTCTCTGCACAAAGATCGGTATGCCTAACAAGCATCTAGTATTTAGACTCACAACACTTAAGTTGGTATTGTAATCAATTCCTAAATATGAGTATCTAGACTCACAACACTTAAGTTGGTCTTATCATCAACTCCCAGGCATGAGTATCTAGACTCACAACACTGAAGTTGATCTTATCATCAACTCCTAGATAAACATACGAACATATCATATAGCAAATAAATCACACAGCAAATTAACCATTCTACACAGACAAACATAACCTGACAGTACCTACATCCTAGCATACAAGGACATATACTATAACATGTAGTATAGTGAGAAAACTCACATGGCTATACAACAGAACTCAACAGCAACCTCAACAATAGAAACAGCTAACAAAAGCTACCCAATGTCAAACCAATATCAAGTCTATAACATTATGTTTCCTGCCATTTATGGGTCGTGGGCCGGAAGTCGATTGTGTCAAGGCTTTGATCCTTAAGGAGGTAAAGTTTAGTCCTTATGAAAGGAGGTAATGATGATGAAAACCCTAATATTTGGGCTTAGGCTAGTACATTGAGCGTACTAGGCATGGCTGATCAAAGGTTTAACCTGGTACGCTGGGCATATTAGGAGTACGGTTGGTATACGTAAGCTTGATGAAAACCCTAATATTTGGGTCTTGGACTCTATTTAAAGACCTTAAATCTTTTCAAACCCTTATTACCTTCAGCATCCATCCTTTCTAACCCTAATTTTGAAACCCTAGCCCCATTTGTGAGATCCTTGAGTTATTGGTGCTTTGGAGTGTTCTTGGTGCATCTTTGAGAAGAAGGAGCCCATTGAAGAAGTGTTGGTTGCATTGGAGCTTATAGATCTAGAAATTGTTCACCTTGATCTTTCTTTTTGAGGTATAAAGCTTGAATCTTGATGATGCATGTGTTACATCTAGCTAGTTTTGGGTGTTATGAGCTTATGATCACTTTAGTGCATAAAGTTTAGATCTTGAAAGTTTGTGACCTTATTATGAATAAAGTTGGAAACTTTATCCATCTAAACATCATATTGATTCATATCTGAAGGTTGGAGACTTGGACTTAATGGATTAAGTTGAGAAAGATGCATTGTTGGTCACTTTGAGACTTAAAGACTGGATATTGGTTGTTTGGACCATCCTATTTGATAAAGTTGGAAACTTTATCCATTATGGAGCTATTAGGAACCATAAAAATGTGATCTTGGTCCTTTTATCCCTTCCATGTAAGAGTTATGATGTCTTAATGGATTAATTAGTTAGGTTTTTAGCTTTTTTAAGCTTTTTCTAGCCATGAAAAGTCATAAAAGTGGAAACTTTATGAATTAAGTCGATGTTTTTAGTCTATATCTGAGTTTGGATGGAAAAGCCTTAATGAATAAGCACTTAATGAGAATGAGAGTGTCCAAACATAGTATGCTAAGCATACCAAGGGGTATGTTGCGCGTACCTGGTCAAGGTCCCGTGTGTTGGTCAAGGATGCACTACGGTGGGCGTAGTTACTGAGTACGCTTAGCGTACTTAGTCAGTTTGACTTCTTTGACTTTTTGACTTCGACCTTTGATCAAGGGTTGACCAAGTTTAACTTAAGGGAATTTTAGGTATTTTGAGTTGTGGTTTGAGATCTGGTCATTATTTGTTGTATAGGTGACCTGTAAAGTTGGTATTCAGAGCAACATGTTGTTCAGCTATTTCGTCAGACTGTGAGGTGAGTTTTCCTCTCTATACTTGTGGGTCGAAGACACCAATCTCGACCCATTAGGTTATGTATCCCAGTATATATGATGTTGTTATGTTGTGATGATTTGTTAGATCTGTATCCTGGTATATAAGATGTTGTTGTGTTGTAGTGATCTGCTAGATCTGCGTATATATCCTTATATGATAGGATGTTGTAGTAATGGTATGTTGGTTATAGTGCTAGTAGAATGCTTATCATCTAGTGGAGTGTCTTAGGGTTTGTATGTTGTAATGTAGGATAGCCTGAGAGCTCTTGATCTAGGCCTCCTTGCATGTTCCTTGTTTAGTTGTAGCTCTAGAGTAAGATCATATGTTCGGGTGGCTATCTCACATATGGTTACTTATGGTTACTCATTTAATGGAGGTTAGCTAGTAGTAAGACAGTGTGATATGAGAGGACTAGTAGGCGGTAGTGAGTTGTATGATTGATGTTTTCATGTATTATGTGCCTACTTCATCCTTAATTGTTTATATGTCGACATATGGTCGTAGTAGGTTGAGTCGGTCCTGCTTTGTATTGTATGCCAAGATACATAGTGCCAGTCAGATGTAAGTCGTAGGCATGGAAGCTTGGAAAGAGTTGTTGGGTTGAGGCAGTAGTCCAACAAACCCTGGGTATTCCAGTCCGGTGACTGATTGGACCCGTTGCATTTTGGCATTCCAGACTGATGACTGATTGGGCATGGGCATTCCAATATGATGATTGTGGGTCGTTATGCATACTTGTATGTTTATCGTATAGGATATTTTGGGGAAAACTCACTAAGATTTGTGCTTACCTAGTTGTTTATGTTTTCAGGTTGTATCAGTGATTGTGAGAAGGCAAAGGCAGAACTGTACACACTCATCAACAACATTGAGGATTTTGTGTTCGTTAAAATACTCTGATTTTCAATAAATGTAATTGGGAATAAATGGTTTTTTCTTATAATGGATTTATAATTGGGAAGCTTTACCTTTATAAAAAAATGGTCATGAATATGGGATGTTTCAAGTTGGTATCAAGGCCCTGTTTGCGCGAATTGGAGGAACACTAGTGTGAATCCAAACTCAAACTAGGATCCAAGAATTTTCACAAAAACGTTTTTAAAAAAGAACTTACTATAAAATGGTTGGGTTATCGACTTAGGCTCGATATCTTGTCGTGTTCTTGTTTGATTGTTGGCTTGGTTTTTACAAGAAAATGCAGTTTGTACAATCAATCGAAGCCTGAACAAGAGAGCGGTTCCCAAAATACCCCTACCCATTGTTTTTTATAACACTGTCACATGATTATAATAAAGAGAAATTACAAGGGTTCTCAATGGAAGCATAAAGACTACAAAGAATAAAGCGGCATATAAATACTAGCTAGACAAAACCCTAATAAGTTAAAGACAAAAGGGCTTATAAACAAGTGGGCTAATAACATATAGGCTACACATCTCCCCTCAAACTCACAATGCCACAACAATAAGCATTAAGAGTTTGTCACATAAGAACCGAAACCGAGAAGCCGATAGAGCCTTCATAAAAATATCCACATGCTGCAATGTTGATGAAACAAGCGGAAGCGATATGGTCTCGAGTTGCAGGTGATGACGGGTAAAATGACCATCAATCTCAATGTGCTTCGTCTGCTCATGAAAAATAGAATTCTTTGCGATTTGTAGCGCACTTTTGTTATCACAATACAAGGGGGCATTGTGAAGAAATATGAACTCTCGTATCCGCAAGCAGCCACCGTAACTAGATAATCTCACATGTAGTTACAACCATAGCACGATATTCAGCCTCTGTGGAAGATCTAGAGAC